GAAGTCTCACTAATACAATGGATTCAGTCAATGCTAAAAACGAGAATCATCACTGCTAGTATTGGAGGAGAATCTGTGACTGTGACAGCGGTAAAGGGGTGCCCTCAAGGAGGAGTATTATCGCCTCTACTGTGGTCTTTGGTTGTGGATGACCTCCTCACTAAGCTGAATGATTCTGGTTTTATAACCCAAGGTTACGCAGATGACCTAGTTGTTACAATTAGGGGCAAGCATGACCAGACTATATCTAGTCTCATGCAAACTGCTCTTAACGAAATTAAAAGCTGGTGCTCGAAGGAGGGCTTAAGTGTCAACCCCAGTAAAACGACTTTGATACCTTTCACAAGGAGACGTAAATACAATTTACAGGCTCCAACTATGAATGGCATCACATTAGACTATTCCAAGGAAGTTAAATATCTGGGGGTAACCCTAGATCAAAAACTCAATTGGAATAGTCATATTGAAAAAATTTTATCCAGAGCTTTGGTGGCAAGTTGGACCTGCCGCAAGACATTTGGAAAGACTTGGGGCCTACAACCGAAAATGACTCTGTGGTCATATAAAACAATAATTAGGCCCATGGTCACATACGCATCATTCGTATGGTGGCCAAAAACACAACAAACAACAGCTAACGCCAAGCTGCAAAAAGTGCAGCGGCTAGCTTGTCTGGGAATCACAGGGGCAATGTCAACATGCCCCACTGCAGCTCTAGAGGCGATGCTGAACCTTCCTCCCTTGCAGTTCTGCATAAGGAGGGAGGCAGTAACTACCGCCTTAAAAGTGCGACAGACACAAATAATGAAACCTGGAGATCTAGTTGGCCACCTGAAAATCGTGGAAGAAATTCCATTGGATTCTAAGGACATGCCGACAGATGCTATGCCAGTCAAATTCGACTTTGAAACACCCTTTGAAGTGGTCATAAAAAACCACCAAATGGGTGAAGAAATTGAGCCAAAAGTGGAAGAGGGTTCACTCGTATGGTATACGGATGGATCTAAGATAGATGAAAGGGCAGGAGTGGGAGTTACTGGGCCCAATTTCAGGCTATCTAAATCTCTTGGAAACGCCCCAACTATCTTCCAGGCAGAAATACATGCCATAGACATAAGTGCCCAAGAATGTCTCAACCGAGACACTCGTAGGGCAAAAGTCTTTATTTTATCAGACAGCCAAGCCGCCTTAAAGGCTCTAAAGTCATTTACATGTGAGTCAAAGTTAGTTTGGGACTGTAAACAATCTCTCAAGAAGCTGGCGGAACGCAACAATGTAACTGTGATGTGGGTGCCAGGTCACAAGGGAATTGCAGGAAATGAGGAAGCTGACAGCCTCGCAAAAGAAGGAGCTAATACCCCATTCCAGGGTCCGGAACCCTTCTGTGGACTATCGAAAAGCCACATCAGAGAGGAACTCCGTACCTGGGAACTCAATCAACTAAGATCATATTGGTCTAACACACCAGGACAAAGGCAAGCAAAAAGGCTCATAAAAGTGTCGCCTACTGCAACAAACGGTTGCGTAAGAAAGATATTAAAATGGTCACACTGGTCACTGCCCTCTGAGATATCATCTCAAGAAGATGGCAAATCAGATAGTGAGAACTGTCGTTTCTGTCACAATGAAAAAGAAACGGCAGAACATATACTATGCAACTGCGTAGCACTGTTCTGCAAACGACTAAAATTCCTAGGAGAGGTGAGTCTGGCGTGCTCTGACATAGGAAACAAGTCACCTAGGAAGCTAATCAACTTCATCAGAAGTATTGGCATTCTAGAGTTTAACTAGATTAAGGTATGCACAAAAGATCTGTATAGGTCGAAGTGCGGTGAGGCCGCATGGCCTTAACGACCTCACATAATCTAATCTAATCTACTTCACGATTCGCTTCACGATTTCAATTGAAAATAATTGTGTACATCTAACATATTCTCTAAAGGTGCCGATTTATCGACCATATTTTAGGCTATCGCTTAGTGTGGCGGGATATTGGCATAGACTCGAGAAAGCACAATTGCCATACTTACCTCAATGTATATTACCTATGTCCAGCGCATAAAATAAAACAAAAAGTTTTAGTAAAATTTCTTTTATTAACTGAAATAAGTTAGGTGACAACTTTTTCGAATAATAACAGATTCCTGTCAAATATACTACACAGAGATAAATTTGTGTATATACAATTATTTTCTTCTTTCATTATTCTCTCCTAATCGTCCATTTCTTTCATTATTTACTTATTTATTCATTTAAATTAATATATTCGCATCATCGAAAAAATGTAAATATACATACACTACAAAAAACATTGATAAAACTACCTATATGTCAGATAACAATTGAATATTATAAATGTTTCAAAATTTGACTATATTTTCATTTAGTATTCATAATTACTTTGATAAATATTACAATAATTGGACTATAGAAGATTTCAGGTCTATTTATCAGTATCATTTTATAAGAATTGCTTTTAATGGTACTTGTACCATATAACTACAAATAACAATTGATTCAGATTAAGTTGTGGTTTATTTCAATACTAAACTGATTAGTAAACTGTCAAAACTGATTTTTTCTTGAAAAAATCTATAGTCAAAAACAGCAGTGACCACGAACAATGATCATTACCATGTATTTCATAAACATCAGAACCGATTATGGAGAACATATAATATTTAAAGTGCATCCACTATTTGCACAAACCTAAGACAGATCAAATAATATTGATCGTGTATGAAGTCAACATAGATGCCAAAATAATGTGACTGCAAGCACACTTGCGTGAAGGTGTGTGAGTATACGCAAGCTTTCAGTTGTTTATGGTCTTCTAGAAGAATATGCACATCACTTAAAAAGCAAAACGACTTTCATAAATTGGAACATGAGACTGACATATCATTAAGAAGGATAAAAGTATGAACTTACAATATATATACATTTACGCTAACCACGTAAATTTGTTTGGTATTACACATTGCAGCTCCTGATTGCTGTTCCTCAAAATATTACATATTTTGAGCACAATTTTAAAACAAGAGGGGAGAAAAATATGCGAGCACTAATACTAGTAGAAGGAATCGTACTAGAAAATGAAGAAGCAGACGGCAACAAGATGACAATATCAAATTAAAAGAGGGAAAACATAAATCAAAAGTAAAAAAAATGCTGCGGATTATCTGAATCGAATTTTAGTTCCTTTCATAGTTAGGTTAATAAAATTTCATGTTTGTGAAATTAGATATTGAAATGCAGTCAGTAAAAATACAGATGGTATACTACATGATAGTGCATGCACTCAACTAGAAAAATTATGATGATTATTAAATACAAAAGTGATCATTTTTGTAATGATACACTGCACAACACAATTGCAAAATTTTGGGGCTCGGAGAAGGTTATCCACATCTATACAAGCTTTAAATATGGAGTGATTGATTTGTATTACACAGTAAATCAAAATAATGCAACTATAAGAGCAACAATTAGGTTATGTTAGGTTAATTTGACATGTCCCACGTCCAACTGTCATTAGTCACTTAATAAACTTGAAAAAATTAAATAATATTTATAATATTATATATTACTATATATATATTTATAATAATAATAAAATAGTCTCAAATTTGTATTTTATATAATATCAAGAATACTAACAGTTGATTACATTCTAAAGTTTCATATTTGATTTACTCTGTATGTGTGCTCAACCATATTGATTTATTTTTCTAACAAGATTATCTTAAATCTTAAACATCTACTTGTGTATTTGTCAATAACAAAACTTTAAAGAAAACAAGGTTCATATCAGCAATAACAGAAAAACATGAACACATTTTCACAAAATTTTTTAAAAATATTATTAAAAACGTAAAGTACTTAAATATTATATATTGAACAAAAGTTCATCTAATAAAATTTTAAAAGTTACTGTAAATATCAGTAATCGGACAATTGGTCTTGACCACGATTGCCTACCACAGCAATTTGATGCTTTTTGTGATGGCCGAGAAGTTGCCAGCTCATCCTAATAACACTCCCCAGATGTGGACAGAGTTGTTATGTCAAGGAATATCTTCGAATCTAGGAATTTTTAGAGTTTCAGATAAAAAGGGATATTTTGTTAAGAATTCCTCTCTATTGCAACTACACATGCTGATTAGGGTAGCTAGAAATCCACCACTTTTTTCACACGACACTTTGTAAATTCTACTTAGATAGTATTGGGTAGTAAACTCTGTAACATCACATATTTTTAAAAATATGACATTTGAAACAAAATTGGATGTGTCTGGGATATGAAATAATTTTTAAAAGATTAAATAATGTATATTGCATTAAAATAAAGTACTTGCATCCTTATACCGACTCGTACACTACAAAGATTAAAATAAAAGTTCTTTTCAATAACACAATATCAGATATTAATGAACAGATAATGGGACCGAACAGAAATAAAAGTGATGTGCTGTTTTTAAAGAACAATTACACAAGGTACTGTTTAAAAAATAGACAACTAGAGCATCTGACCCATTATTATAACTAATTTACATTGTACATTTATTTTTTGCTGATATCAACGCTTGTCAGTCTTCAAAGATAACAAACAAACGAGTAAAACTGAGCTGTTTCATATCGCAAGCACGCAGGTTATAGGCATATTTTCCAAAACGTCCACAGTGTCTCTTCAATCATCAAACAACGATATACAGGGGGTGAGTCAAAATTGCGCAACTGATTTCCTTCATTTAGAAATAATATCACTTGAAATAATAACTAGGGTTTATTATTCCTGATTAATTTCAAAAGAATGTTTCATGAATAAACAAAAAACACCTGAGTAAAACTTTTGATCAAAAATCAGTGCACAATTTTGAAAACATTAAGCGATTATTCGCTACAGGGATTTTGGGGGTCTTATATTAGTTTAAATAGTGGCGTCTTCAGTGCAGCCGTTGTGGACGAGCCGGAAGAGTCCATATAGGTGGGGCCAAAGGTCACAGTTTCTCCTTGGCTGGTACCCATATGTTTGGTCCTGATTGTTCCTTAATTACTTCTTTGACTTGGTTATAGATGTCTTCGGGAGTATCGCCTTGTACAACAGCTGTTAAACAGAAAATAAGTTAAATTATACTTATAATATATTTTTATAAAAAAAAATTTAATCACACTTGTATAATTTTTCACATACAAAAAAGAATATTGTATTTTTCGCTATGCAACCGGTGAATTGCTCGAACGCAATTACTCAAATCAGTTGCTCGAAAACGAATTGCTCGACATAAAAATTGTTCGAAAAGAAAAGAAAACTCTTCTTTCTTTCTCCCCTTCCTTTTACCCTATCAATATGTCGGATTTGGGCTAACTATTTTAATTTCCATTCACCCTTCTCTTCCATTATTTTCTATTTCCTGCCATTATTTTCAATTCCTCGAATGATTTTTGTTTAACTTCTCCCGTCTCTATTACTTGCTGTACCTATTTTTTTTCTTCTTCTTAGAGTGCCGTCTCCCTACGGAGGTTGGCAGTCATTGTCAGAGACACTCAGTAAATTATTTTATTATTTATGGCTTAAGTTGAGTATTATTGCTTAGTAAGTATAAGACGCACTCAAAAGATGTTTATTCTAAATATTAGGGCGACGTGATTTTTATGTTTATATCTCACGCCGAGAGTGTGTAATTAAATTTAACGACTTCTCGCTTTGATTATTTTTTTTATTTCGGAGAAGCCGTGGCATGCTTATATTAATTTAAAAGATTTGTAAAATCAGTACCTTTTTGAACTTACGACCGATATATTCTTTAGAATTGTTTCATTTTAAAACCGCCTGTAATTTTTGAATAGAAGTTATTGTTGATAATTTTGGACTTTTATTCCATCGAACGATATTGATGTAGAACGGGTAGATTTACATTGATACAACCAACAGTCATAATGGCTATTTTTATTTTTGAACTTGCTGCTCTAAACAAATCAATAGATCTGCATTGATACCAATCGCGTATATTCTTCAACCATGAGTTCTGTCTTCGGCCAACAGAACTTCTTTCTTGAATGTTTCCCTGTATTATGAATCTCAAAATTTCATAGTTTGGTCCCCTCATCACGTGGTCTAGGTATTCCAGTTTTCTGGTTTGTATAGTGGTGATTAGTTGTGTTGCATTGCATTTCTTTGATGTCCAAGTCTCAGCTCCATATAATAATATTGAAAATATATATAACAGCGAATGGTACGTAGTCTGATCTCAAAATTTAGATTTTTGCACGTTAGGAGTGGCTTCATTCTTATAAATGCTGATCTGGCAATCTATATCTGTTTATTTCTGCAGTATGACCATTGGTTTCATTCCCTAGTACTGATATTTTTCTACTTGTTCTGTCACGTTACCATTTATTGTCAATAGGTGAAGTATATTTTGTGGTCTTTTTGTAATTAGCGTATACTTAGTTTTTTTAACGTTTATAGTAATCCCCATCTCAGCACAATTCATACTTAAGCTTTCTATAAGATGTTGTAGATCTTCTATACTCGTTGCTATGATCACAGTGTCGTCTGCATATCATAAGTTGTTAATTAATTTTCCCTTAACGGTATCTACCGCTTTGACAGTATTGAGCATGTTTTGGAAAGTTTCTTTAGAAGATAATTTAAACAAAAGTGGCGATAAAACACATCCCTGTCTAATTCCTCTACAGATCTTCATTTCTTCTGAGTGTTGCCCATCAATTTGAACTATGACACTTGGGTTCCAATATAATGTTTGCACTATATTTATGATTTTATTGTGAATGCGCTTGTTCATAAGTATTGATATTAGTTTTTCATGTCTTACTTTATCGACAGATTTTTCGTAGTCAACAAAGCACAAGTGTAGATCAATTGTGTGATCAATAGTGACTCATGAGGCCCAGTGTTCGATAATCAGAGCACTCTTTTGTATTCACAAGCAAATTCTTCTATTTTCTGTATTTCACCTCTTTCATCTTGGAAAAGTTCTCTAACGTACTCCTCCCATCGTCTTAATTTCCCTGGTAAATCTATTAGTAGTACTCCTTTTTATCTTTTATGTGCCCTTGCTGTCTATTTCGACCCATTCCAGTCACTTCTCTTATTTTTTGTGCATATTTCTCATATCATATTGTGTTTCTAGTTCTTCTCTCTCTTTACATTGTTTCATCAAATAGATTTCCTTAGCTGTTTTGATTTTTTCCTTAATTATTCGTTGTATTTCTTTATACTTCTGTGGATATTTTCCTTTATATTTCCTTCTTTCTTCCATCTGTAATATGTTTTCTGTCATCCACTGTTTTTTAGCCTCTGGCCTATGTTGTATCAAACTTTCTTGAGCTATTTTTATCCGAGAGGGTTAGTATTTTTTTGTTGGTTTTTTGTGCAACGGTTTCGCATGTCGACGACCGAGGAAGCCTTGTGTTCTGATGGTTGTCCTTCCCTGCCGGATTTTGGTCTCCGATTACCATAATTAATAAAGTCTCTTGCGCAAATAGTGCTAGCCATTATAATTTATACTACAGATGTCATCAGGGATCTTTAATGCAGTGGTTTCTCGTTGCCTTCTGCATTCTGATGCCGTTGACCACTTTCTTGGTTCTTCCGCCTTCCGCCTTCGAGACCAATTTCTCAGTCTCAGGACAACAGAGTGTCCTTCCACTTACTAGCTCATCCGCCCTAAGCCGTTGGCCAGTAAATGGTGGATTGCTTATCCCGGCAAACACTCGGACGTCAGAGCCTCGTTAGTTATCTAGCAGAATATACCAGACGACCATGATCTAGATCATCATTCGAGCAGGTGTGGTTGACATTTGAATAGGAGTGGCTATATGTTGCGCTTAACTATCCCATGTTTTTCTTGGTCTGCCTCTTTTTCTTTTTACGATGTTTTTTACTTCATGAACTTTTCTTCATGGACTTTTCTTCATAGCCTTTTCTTGTAATTATGTTGGGCTGCATCCTCATTTTATTACTGGTTCTTGGTTGCTCATAGTTCTAATAGTTGCTTAATCAATCCCATATAATCTTTCCAACTATCCTGCTTAGATGTCTCATCTCCATTGCATTAGTTATTATTTCGAATTGTTTATAATTTCCTGAGTCAGATTCTTCTCGATCGACAATGATAAAATAAATTGTTGAAGTTGTGGAGTAAAACATAGTTTTATTAACAGCTACTGAAAATTATTACACTATAGTTGTTGTTGCGGTAAAAATTTATAATAGACTGCCTCCCAAACTAGTCCCGAAGCTATATTTATAATCTCACTAAAATGCTACGATTCATCCAATAAGTATATTGCCCTCTCCATAGAACAAAAACGACTTTTAAAAGCTGGAAAATATAATTTGAACCGAGGAAATGATTGCAAGCATTTTCTCAATAATATTGGACAATAGTTTGCCGGAAGTTGAACAAACTGGAATTAAGCTACTAATCGATATGTTTCACAATTATACACGGTGAAACTATACAATTTGTTGTTAATAATGATAATAAAATAATTTACCTGTGAAGTATTCGCCGAATTCTTGCTCCATCTTTATTGCCCGTTCAAAAGTCTTCTTGGCTTGCTCTTCTGTCATTCTTTTATTCATTTCCCTAAAAATATAAACTTGTAAATAACTTCTGCTACAAGTGATACATAAAAATAAACAAAACACATGTTAATTTTCAAAAATGACATTAATATATTAGAGACAGTTTATATAATTGCCATAAACATTATTACTGTAACTTCGCCTGTAAAGACTATATAATTACAGGAGGGCGGTATTATTCATTTGTTAACTTTCTCTTTTGATTTAGTATTTTTCTTCCCAAAATAGGTGGAGTTCAACTTTCTATTTACTGAATATACTGCCATATTCTTTCTGTTATTATCCAATTTTAATTTTCACTTATTTCGATTCTATTCCCCGTATTTAGACCCCATATCTACACCATTCTATTATATGCGACAGACATATATAAACTGTCTATGCCCTACCTCAAGTCGACAAAATAGATTTGTCAGTACGCAAATCCGTTCTGTCACGTCAGTTTTCGCTTCAATACAAAGAGGAACTTGTTTTTATAACATTTTTCATCTACTTAAGCTGATGTCCTAGTGAATAAATTCATTTATATATTAATTCTCTTCTCTGGAGTGAGTATAAATTTCATTTCATATTTTAGTTGGTCGTTTTTTTACATATCTGTCTTTATTTATTTCCTCCTTTGACTTTGTTTTATACATAACCTAATCTCCAAGCCATATATGCATGTAAAATCTTTATTTAAATAATTTTAACTAATTTATTTTAATAAGAATTCTATTCGTTTAATTATACTTGTCACCAGCTATGTCCTTTCAAAAAATTTTTCTTTCTATGGCAAAAAAATCTGTGTAACGCATGATATCGCTAACACAAGATTTATCATTTTAGTTTTTTGTAAAATAAATTCATCTAAACAAATTTTTCTTGTTCTCCCTTATTGGGAGGAACTTTCTGAAGCCTCATGATGCACCACAGATGTGATGACAGCTGCAAAGGCAGGATTTACTTTATTTTTGTTTAATGTTCAAATTTTATTTTATTTTTTTAATGTGCAGTAAACATGAATAGTTAATATCCTGTTTTTTTTTGTCCCAGCCAAGTTTATATTTCAGATTTTACATTTAAAACGTTCTCACACCTTAGAGACTGAGCTAGATGGAGTGAAAACAATCTGCTCCCAAAGAAGATTTGAGTTTTATTGTTAAACATTGATTCCTAACTTTCTGAGGGTAGTTATATAGTAACACATTGGCTGCCCACCGTTTCTGATGGGCTGCCCACCGTTTCTGATGGGTAGTTAATTGTTACAACAGCACCGAACTCTGTAGGCCATTCATCGACTGCTGTGCGGACGACACCTATAGGAAACTTGTCCATAGCTTCTACCAGCAGCTGCTTCAATGACTCCAGATTGACGTCTTGTACAGACCATACCCTTTAAAATTACCATAAGTTGTAGTCTAGTGGATTAAGATCTGGACTGGCTGACGACCAATGGTCACTACAAATAAAATCAGGTAAATGATCGTTAAACCAGTGTTGAGTAGTTTTTTCGGCCTTATGTGCAGGTGCAGAGTCCTGTTGGAATCATAATCTTTATGCAGCCTTTTGCGTTCAAAGTTGAACACAGGCCTCCCCTAATTTCTTCCAATTTTGTCGACCTTTAGCTTCTGTAGTAAAAAAAATGTAATTCTTTTGGGTCCACCGCCCGTCATTCATTCTGACCACATGGCCCGCCCAGATCCACTTCAGCCATGCTATTCGCTGTAGGACATCTTTTATTTATTCCTTTATAAACTCTGTCTCTGAGAGTGAGAGAGAAATATGTCACTCTTTGTGTCTACCCAAAATTTATTTTCAAACCAACTTCATTACAGGCAGCATCTAACTCAGTAAAAATAGTTCCAATCTCTTTTCAAGTTATCTGTTATCAGAACAATGTCGTCCTCAAAAGTCGTAGGTGGGAGAGCATTTCGCCGTCGACATTGACTCCTTGATCTTCTTCTTTAAGTTCCATCTTCTATCGAAGGTTGGAAATCATCATGGCTATGCGGACTCTGTTGACTGCCGCTCTAAAAAGTTGTGCACTACTGCATTCAAAACCATTCCCTTAAGTTCTTAACTCCTTGATCATCTAACTGCAATTTTTTGAAAGCATGTTCCAGAAATGCTGTAAATAATTTGGGAGATAACGTGTCCTTGACGGATTCCTCTTTTGATTTTTATACACTTTGTATCTTTGTGTAATTTATCCTGTTAAAATATTCATCCATAGTCTATTTTGGAATATATTGTGGTTTACCACATATTTGTCAAAATGTTCCGCTGATAATTTCTCGACTCTCTTTTAACGCTCATTTTACAAAAAAGGTAAAGAACTGACGCTGTCATAGGACTCTTAACGCCATAGTCCACCAAACCATCACCGAGGGAAAATAATGACCTTGACACGATAATTTGTGTTCACGCCATCACATGGTTTAAGTTAATTTCATGCATTTTTTCGATGCGGTAACGCAGCAGTCTATGCAGATGCAGATGTGTGTCCTATATGCGAAGATTATAAAGAGTCACAAAAAGAATCTCCAGGCGACAGTACACTGGATACATGAACTAGATCGGTGCGAGGCGAAAGTCTTTCACACCGGTCTTTTGACTATTTACCAGCGGCAAATTCGAAGTGCAAATCAAGTTAAGCGTTGGGCTTTCTTGGACAATCGTAAATAAACTCCATCGTTTTGTTTACTTTATGTTTCCTCTGCAGTAATTTTTTTGCATGTGTAAAGAGAATTTCTTTGTATTGCTCTTTCTATGCGAGAACAGCTGTCATGATTTTTTCCTATTTGGTTTTATTGCATTTAAAAAAACACATTCGCCACTGGAACGAGTTAAACACACAGACGCTTTGAAGAAAAGCAGAAGATAGAGACGAATTTGCAATAGTTATACCCAACCTTCATTAGGGGTGTAGGCACTAATGAAAGTAGCTCGAAGAAGAAGTCATTTAAATATTCAATGCATATTTTTTAACAAACAGCTGTTATATATGTATGTATATAGTCTTGAAATGTTAAAAGAAGGAGGGGAAGATAAAAGACTACCTAAAGATACTTTTCAATAAATGTTTGTTTGAAGGACAAATACCGCAAGAGTGGAACAAGGCAAATACAATTCTGATATATAAGAAAGGAAATAGATCAAAATTAGCTAACTATACACCAATATCTCTCTTGTCACAAATCTATAAAACTTTCACTAAGGTGATCACAACTAGACTAAACAACAAATTTGATGCATACCAACCAGTTGAGCAGGCAGGATTTAGAAAGGGGTACAGCACAACCGACCACCTTCACACTCTTAAAATATTGATAGAAAAGACCAACGAATACAACCTTCCAATATACCTAGCGTTTGTTGACTATGAAAAAGCGTTTGACAGCATAGAACTATGGGCAGTGGAAGAAGCGCTAGTTAATTGCCGACTAGATTCACGGTACAGAATGTTAATCCACAATATATATCAAAACGCCACTATGAGAATTCAGCTAGACAGAGATTTGCAAACTCCATTAATTAGAATTTGTAGAGGTGTCAGACAAGGGGATACAATCTCACCCAAACTATTTACTCTGGCGTTGGAAGACATTTTTAAATCTATAGACTGGGACAATAAAGGGATTTGTATAAACGGGAAATATTTAAATCATCTAATATTCGCCGATGATGTACTCCTGATAGCAACAACTATGGAACAACTACGAATAATTATTTCAGACCTAGAAAAAACATCTCTTGAGAAAGGACTAAAAATGAATCTAAAGAAAACTAAAATAATGACTAATACAGAAGACAGATCAGTAATTACCATAGGTGGAACAAACATAGAACACGTCCAAGAATATATTTACTTAGGACAAGCTATCAGAGCAGACAAAAGTAACCAGACTAAAGAAATAACCAGAAGAATAAGAATGGGGTGGCTGCATTCGGAAAACTCTCATATACTATCAAAAACCAAAAAATACCTTTAAAATATTAAGAACGAAGGTATTTAATGCATGCGTCCTACCTGTTCTGACATATGGTGCCCAGACGTGGACGTGTACCAAGAGCAACTTAGATAGAATAAAGAAAACTCAAAGAGCTATGGAAAGACAAATGTTGGGAATATCGTTGAGAGATAAAAAGAGGAACGAGTGGATAAGATGCAAAACCGAAACAACAGACGCTGTCGAACATGCATTGAAATTAAAATGGAAATGGGCTGGGCATAACGAAAGATATCAGGATGGAAGATGGAATAAAGAAATTGGCCGCTGGAGACCATATACTGCAAAAAGGTCAAGTGGTCGACTGCAAATGAGATGGAAAGATGACATTGAGCAAAGCGCACGTCCAATTTGGAAAAGACAAACAAGACAGAGACAAATGGAGACAAATGGGAGAGGCCTATATTCAACACATGAATAGATTTTGGGCTATAGATAGATAGATAGATATAGTCTGGCGTTCTTTAAAGTGTACATAAATTGTGTAAGCACCAGTAAAGAGAAGACTACTTTAACATGTATGGCTTATTATTTATACCATCAAAATATTTTATCATTCTTGCATTAAATAAAAAGTTTTAAAGTACAATACACAACTATAATTTTAGATTTATGACAACAGTGCATATTGTTATAAAAGTAATAAATTCATTTCAGTTCCTGATTTATTTAATAAAAACAATGTGTTTCCGTTTTATGTTTGAAATATATAACGATTCAGTATATTTGCCTGTTTTATTCTACGGATTTTGGTAATTTAATTAAACTCGATTTATCGTTTTATTTTTATTTTATTAAGGTTAGAGCAATTAAAATTATATTGCCAAAAAATTATTTTATATGTATGAATATACTTTATTATATATTTATGGATAAACTTTTATTTGAGCAAATATAGACTTGATGATTAAATATACAGTAAACTTTTTTTATTTACCTAATGTTGACTATATAATAGGATCGATAGAACATTAAAACTATAAGCATGTGGCATAAAAGTAGGATTTATATGATCCAGTGACTCGCTCGCTCTACATTATGTATTATGTGTACGTGAGCTAATATGTAGGGACAAATACTTTTGGTAGCTTATTACAAGATGAGTTTCAAGGAATATCCAACAGTGGGAGAAACAACAATGTGCAATAAAAACATACCGATGAAATAGGATAGTTATGGAAGATTTAATATCATTTTAAACGACTCATACCACAAACAGGCTGGCGATAACAAAATAGCACGTTTAGTAGATTTGTCAAAAATAATGGAAGCCAAAACAATACATTAACTGGCCCTGGCCTCCTCCAGTATCATCCTTTAAGCATTTCGATCCTCGATTGCTCTCCTCCAGTTATCAAGCCTCAATATTCCTCAAACATCGATTCTCACCTTGTCTATCCACCTCTTCCTTGGTATTTCTACTGGTCGATGCTTCCACCATAGGTCTACTAAGAATTCTCCTAAGTGTTCTTTTATTATCTATTATTATTATATATAAGATGAGCCGAACACCGCAATCTTCGTAATTTTGCATAATTTGCTACAGAGGGTTCTTTTAAATATTGATAACTCGTGGTTGAACCTTATTCTTCATATACTATTGTCGCATATTTGCCCCAATATACTTCTCAATATATTTACTTTAGTTTACTGTTTTCTCTAGTGTCGTTCGACGGTTGTAAATATTTTGAACTTTACTTTCCTATGGATGTCTTTGGATCTAAATATCTGCGACAGAGAGAAGTATGCTCTGTTAGCAGCATTATCCTTCCCCGAATTTCCTCATCCTCGCTACTACTCATAGCTATCTGTACTCCCAGGTAGATGAGATCTTTTACAACTTCAATATTTACGTTGTCTAGTTTAAATTTGTAAAGTAGTAATCAATTACATATTTACTTACCAAGTAATTACTGAGGTTTATTCTGTAATTTTGACTTAATTGAGTTAGTTATTATTCTGATTATTTTCTTTTATACTCAGTCAGTTATTCTGATTATTACATTTAAATTTAATTATTTAATTATTGTTAAAAGTATGCCAATATTAAACATATGAACTTACTGTTTATATTTAAAAATTTTAGAGAATTTCATTAATACCTGTTTACTTAAAAAAAATGGTTAACTTTACTTACAATACTGAGAAATAGAAGAAGAAACTATCACACTTTAACCTGCATTAGCTTGTCAAATTTACCTCTAAAATCTAATAGAAAACAAAAAAACTCATTTTCTCCAATTTAGAGATGTAGTGCTATTAAGTCCCCCTTTTTAAAATTTAATGTCTGTTTTGTCCTTTTTGTGTGTTCTGTTTGTTCCTAATTGTCCCTAATTGTTTAGTTTAAATAATTTTAACATATGTAACAATAACACTGAAAACTTTGTTTTCAAACTTCCACAAAATTTATTTTAACTAATATCACTACAGCTGTTTCGGCTGATTGCCTTTCTCAAGTGATCTATTTTTTCCATCTAGAGACAAAGATTTCAAAACATCCCGTAATCAAACAATTTCTATATTGGTGGAGATACGTAGACGACGTACTGGTATGTTTCACAGGAACTAACAGGCAACTCGATCAATTTTTATCGTATAATAATTCACTTCATAGTCATATTGAATTTACAATAGAAACAGAACAAAATCAATCCATAAATTTTTTAGATATAAAAATTATCAGACTTAAAAACAAACATGACTTCTCCATATTTCATAAACCTACACATACTGACACGACTATACACAATTCATCATCCCATCCAAAACAACATAAACTGGCAGCTTATCATAGTATGTTACATAGATTAACAGAAATTCCGATGTCAAAATACAACTTTGAGACAGAATTAAATATAATTAAGCAAATAGCAGTAAACAACGGATACAACGAACAAACAATTAATAAAATGTTAAATCAAAAACTACACAAGAAATCCCTGAAATTAGTATTTCCACCATCAGAGAAAAAACCCAGTACCTTCTGCTCGATTACATATACAGGCAAAATAACAACCAAAATAGCCAAACACATAAAAAAGAAAGGAATAACACCAGCTTTCCGAACAAATAACAATCTAGGCAAATATATTAAAAATAACAAGAGCCGAAATAAAAAACACTTAAATAGTGGTGTGTACAAACTTCAATGTGGCGACTGCCCAAAAACTTACATCGGTCAAACTGATAGAAACTTTAATAAACGAATAGCAGAACATAAAAGAGCTTTCAATAATAGAAAAACAGATTCGACATACTCACTTCACCTTCTAGATCATAATCATTCTTTTAATGACAAATTTAAAATTCTTCACATTCAAAATAAAGGCCTTAAGCTATCTTTGTTAGAATCTATGGAAATCAACAAATTAAAAAACACAGATATAATTCTGAATGACCAACTTGAGACAAACAGTTCTCCCCTCCTCAACCTATTTCATTAGAGACTACAAATTGTAAACGCATGCCAAAAATAGATCACTTGAGAAAGGCAATCAGCCGAAACAGCTGTAGTGATATTAGTTAAAATAAATTTTGTGGAAGTTTGAAAACAAAGTTTTCAGTGTTTTATTGTTACATAAAATGAATTTCCATCAAGTAATGGTCGAATCCATCAATTTTAACATACTTGACTTTACAATCATCTGCCAAATAACAATAAGCTAATTGAGTTTTATCAAAGAAATTTGATAATTACAAGTTAAATGAATTTGCTCACCCACACAATTGTACATCTAATTTAATTCATTGTCATAGAGCTGCCACCTTAATAAAATTTCAATAAATAACACACATTTCGTAAATATATCTCTTGACTAAATATGTATAAATAACTTTTAAAGAATTAAATAATACAGAACATCACTTTCAGTTAACAAACAATCACATTACACCTATTTTCTAATTCATTGGATAAAATCTATCTCCTCGAGAAACTTCCCAGTTGATTATTAAACAATTACCATAACTGAGACATGTAATATTGGCATAATTACTGCAATTTATATTATTTATCTTTTGTTTATGTTTACAAGAGAACACCCTAATATGAGTTTTATTCTTTCAGCATTTAATTAACTTTGTATCGACAGACCTGAAGATGCTTTGCAAATTGCAGAAAGCGAAACCGGTCGTCTAGATAGTTAAATTAAACTGATTGTGAGTAAGTCTTATTTATTATTTCTTTTACCTATTTGAAACGGACTCACACAAGCAACACATTCATGATTTAAAAATCTGTTCATTCGAAACAGTAAAATATTGCTAATACTGGGTAGCCAATGTGAAACAATAGATCTTACACTGACAAGTCGCCAAGAAACTGTTATTTCGTGAGTTTTAAGGGAAATTGAACTTTTACGTATATTTTTCATATTGCCAGTATAAACTTTAATATAATATGACTCCTTTTCTCTCGCAGATTCTAATATTGTTCGACGATACACATAGTTTTAAAAATACCAAAAATCAGAACTAAAAATAAGTGTTCACATATTTAAAAAGTAAACCTATAGACAAGAGAGAAAATATTTTAAGATACGTGTTTTATTTTTAAAATATTTTAATAATATTTCAGAAATTACTTACATTATGGATTCGACAGATTTTGGCTTCACGAAAACGGCGATGGGATACAACTGCGCCACTTGCAGCCTCTTTATTGCATTGCCGCTCACATCCAGGATACAATGTTTACCCTAAAATCACAATATGTATAGTAGGTAAAAAATACATTCTACAAAATAAAGGGTAAACTATTTTTTAAAAAATTTATTTTCTGTTTACGATTTTGTATTACTTCACTTATTCTACAGATAGCGATATTAATAACTGTTTCACGGTTTCTTTGTTTAGTTTGTACAGATTAGATCTGGTTTGGTTATCTTAAACTATATGGCATAGTATCATTATATAACACACAGAACTTTACAATAGAAAGTTCCGAACTTTAACAGTTGATAGCGGTCATATTTTGGAAGCTGCATCTTAAAGTTAGCTGCCATTTATTATGTTTCTTTAAAAAATCAGCATGGATGGATATTGACTCCGCTGGTTCAATAAACAATCAATCAATACCTGTACATCGACGAAACGCAAGATCTGGCGAAAACATCGCCGCCGTCCATCAAAGTGAGCATAAGAATTCGAGATAGTCGATTTCACATCGCTCACCAGAATTCGGCCTTCCACAGACCACAACCACACAGACAACAGCTAGTTTTGCATTGTGACTTGGGCCTGCACCCGTAGAAATTATAACTGACCCCGAGCTGCAGGTAAACGACCATAGACAACGACGTTCGCTGAATGGGTTCTTAATCAATGGGAAACCTCTTTTTGGCTGATTATATACATCCACAGAATTGTTGAATTTGGGATGATAGTAATTCAGATGAGATCCAAGAGCATCTCAAAAAAATTAGTATCTGGTGTGGATTTTGAGCTGATGGCGTCATCGGTCCATATTTATTTGAAAACGACATTACTGTGAACGGTGAGCGGTATAATTCAATGATTACCAACTGGTTTTTTCAAAAATGATATACCCTGATTTATCTATCTGTCTTTAATATGTAATTTTGTATCATCTATATCCTTACCCACCTCCAACGAAGCTTCTGACTTGAGCAACTTACTAGTAAGTAGTCGTTCCATCATTTTCGTGGCCTTCCTACTGATCGTCTTTCTGTTGGGGAACAGTCTCTTACTGTCTTTTCTACACTATTTGTTGTCATTCAGCTTTTATGATCGTTCCATTTACTCTTCTATTTCTTACCCAGTTCATGATGTTCTCCACCTTATATCTACGTCGTATATCTGTACTTCTAGCTCCGTCCCATAATGGCCTTTTCATTAATTGTTCTAAGTGTTTTCATCTATGCGTTTCTAACATCCTTTTTGTCCTCTCTGTGTCAGGTCGTGTTTCTGCAGCGCATGTCATTATTGGTCTGATGACCGGTTTGTAAATTCTGCCTTTCATTTCTTTCCGGATATTTTTATTTCTCCATATGGTTTAATTTAGCCTGCAGCTCTGCTTGTTCTATTCACTTAATCTTCCACTTCAGTTTCGAGCTTTCCGTAGCTAGATAATGTGATGCCTAGATATTTAAACTCCGTCACTTGTTCTATCTCTGACCTACCAGCTACAATTTACATCTTAGTAAATTTGCTCTTGTAACCATGCATTTTGTCTTTTTTAGAAGAAATTAACATGTTAAATTTTCTGCCGGTTATGCAACAACTTTTGCAGCATACGTTGTTAATCATCTTCACTTTGAGAGAGTAGCATTGCGTTGTTTGCATAGTAGATTATTTTAAATTGTTTTTCTCCCATTTGGTATCCTTTTTTAGTTCTTACTTTTTTATATATAATTGATGGAATCGACCGTAACTTGCTGGAAATTCATTTTATGTAACAATAAAACACTGAAAACTTTGTTTTCAAAACTTCCACAAAATTTATTTTAACTATTATCACTACAGCTGTTTCGGCTGATTGCCTTTCTCAAGTGATCTATTTTGTAAGTTTATATACACCACTATTTGAGTGTTTTTTATTTTGGCTCTTGTTATTTTTAATATATTTGCCTAGGTTGTTATGTGTTCGGAAAGCTGGTGTTATTCCTTTCTTTTTTATGTGTTTGGCTATTTTTGTTGTTATTTTGCCTGTATATGTAATCGAGCAGAAGGTACTGGGTTTTTTCTCTGGTGGTGGAAATACTAATTTCAGGGCTTTCTTGTGTAGTTTTTGATTTAACATTTTATTAATTGTTTGTTCGTTGTATCCGTTGTTTACTGCTATTTGCTTAACTATATTTAATTCTGTCTCAAAGTTGTACTTTGACATCGGAATTTCTGTTAATCTATGTAACATACTATGATAAGCTGCCAGTTTATGTTGCAATCAGCCGAAACAGCTGTAGTGATAATAGTTAAAATAAATTTTGTGGAAGTTTGAAAACAAAGTTTTCAGTGTTTTATTGTAATTTTTTTTATTATTTCATCCATATAGAGGACTCAAGGAATCTTCCTGTCTTATCCATTGCCAGCTGTAGCGTTTACGCTACTGATTAACCCCTTAAGAAATTTTTATTACCCGCCTACGATCGATTTTAAATCGACATTTTTCCCCACACGCGCAGTAACCGCTTTGAAAGGAAGATTGATCGATTTTGTGCGGAAGTGAAGCGGGCAGTTTTGGTCAGAACTCTACGCAGCCACGTCAACCGGTGAAATTTTTCACCTTCAAAGTGACGGAATTGGAGCAAGGAAGATAATTTGGGGAAGAATATAATTCATTAATAATAATATAAATAAGTAATTTGTATAATAAAATCAATATTCATTTATGAGTTCCACATAAAAGGAAGATTTTTTTTGGCGTGCTGCGACTCCATATTCCGTCACTTCACTTGAGAGTATTCTCTTGAGAATATTCCCTCAAGGATATTAGTAACTTTGAATCCTTAAACTAATTAGCAACTTGTGTATGTAACCCGTGGATTTTGCTGTCACCCAGAGACCAGTGACTGGTTGTGGCTTTGTGCCCAGGATTCGTCTTTACAGAAATAAACTGATGTAGCCGTGCCAAGAGGAGTTTTTCCTATGGACTTATAGTGCTGTAAAGATAAGTTGTTTAACTATTTGACTTTTTGTATTACTATCTATTTACTGTTAACTCATCATATGCATATGATAGGGTGAATACCTTTGTGATAATTTAATTTTTGATATAATCTAATTCTAAAATATTGGGGAGAAGAAAATATACTATCTGTTTTTATTAGTTTTTTTTTTAAATAGGATTTTAAGAGTACTGACCAAACTCACTTTTGCTATAATATTTTTTTTAATACAATACATTGGATATGATACAATTTGATATTGGGAGAGGGAAATAAATTTAATTTTTTTTTTTAAATATGATATAATGAGTATGGAACAACTCACTTTTTTGGATGTAATATATTTAATAGAATTGTAACAGAAAACAGATTTATCAAGTTTGATATCTTTACAATATTCTAATTTGTATCTCATTTTAGTAGAACTATTTAAATCTAAATTACTAACCTTTGTGTTAAGACTTTGGCTACAATACGGACTATTCTTGTTGTATACTAATATTTCATATTTTATTTGGCCAGTGGTAGTGACTATTCGTTTGTTGAGGGGCTATTAGGTCCCATTGTATCTGTACACCATCCACTACCACTGTTATTTGGCTTTGCATTATATGTAAATTGTTTATACACATATTGTGGGGGTTTAACAAAATAATGTACTATTACGAATTAATAGTACTAAGATTAATACCAGCTATTCCTTCGATAGCTCTGGCAAGATAAATGAACTTTCACTCATAGGTGCAAATAACAAATAATATAAAATTTAAATGGTTGCAAAAACAATCAAAAAACAAACAAAGGTATTAAACTAGGTGAACTTACCGAACCGCTAATTAGGTACCATAATTCACTACTATAAAACCAACCGATTTCGATGCATCGACGCACTCGCGAGGGTTGTGTCTTGCGTCTATTCTGCTCAACGACTTAAGCGCTTGTGTCCTACGGGATGCATAGCATACCCGAACGGTACGAATAGGGATCGAAGGTATACAGGGGGAGGACAAAATGTCTTGATTAATTTATACAACCATATTTGCATTTAAACATTCTCCCCCCTTTAAAGGCCATAAGGTCTTTAAAAAACAAAACGAATTCTAAATACTATCATTACTTAAACAATCAAAACGATAATTACTACAAACAATTCCTATACAAATATTAAACAAATATTCAAAACTTAAACTAAAAAATAAAAAAATTAAAATTAAAATGGTGGTTTTGTCGTGGTTCTATTCATAAAAGCCGAACAAAACAAAATCAGTAAAAAAAATGCTGACCATTTAATCTTCATCTATCGGCACGGGACAGATTCGGACAAGAGGCCGTTTTAAGGTTCCGGTAATCGTACGCACGGTAGCCACTCGAGCTACACCGTCTTTACCCTCATGTAATTCAACAAGACGCGCGAGAGGCCACTTACACGGAGCCAAATTATCCTCCTTTAAAACAACTAAGGTGCCGATTTTAGGTACAAAACTAGGATCTAACCATTTACACTTTTGTTGCAAGGTGTGCAAATATTCCTTTCGCCATCGAGCCCAAAGTCTCTATGGATGCGCTGTAACAACTGCCATCTGGACAAACGATTGAAGGATACCTCCGAAAAATCAGGCACAGACAAAGATGTCAAGGGTTCAAGAGTCAGGAAATGTCCTGGGGTCAAAGCATTGAGATCTTCAACATCATTGGTTAAAGGGGTGAGAGGGCGTGAATTTAAGACGGATTCAATTAACGTCAAAACGGTATAAAATTCTTCGTAAGTCAAAATTTGTGCCCCGACTATACGACCAATATGTTCCTTTACAGAACGAATTCCGCGTTCATAAAATACCGCCAAAATGTGGAGCAGCAGGAGGAGCAAATGAAAACTTAATATTTTCCTTATCGAGAGCGCTCTCCATAAAGCTACTAAGCTGTCGATAAGCACTGTGGAAATTAGTGCCATTATCACAAATACTTGCGATACTCGACCTCTCCGAGCGACAAAACGTTGTAAAGCGGCCAAAAAGGCTTCCGCGGTCAAATCACTAGCTAATTCCAGATGTAAAGCCTTTGTAGCGCAACAT